GAACTGTTTCGGGATGGGGTTGGGGGTGCATCTCCCTGGAGGTGGGGGAGCTAGGTTCTTTTGGGCTGGCAGCTAGGGGGAGGGCAGTTCCCTGGGCACGGGTCTGGAGGGCTGGGGGCTCTGGGGTGTTCCCAGCCCAAGGTTCATTTTCTCTCCCCCGGTTCCAGGACTGTTTCTTCTACTCGCTGGTGTTCGACCCTGTGCAGAAGACCCTCGGGGTTGGGGGTGCATCTCCCTGGAGGTGGGGGAGCTAGGTTCTTTTGGGCTGGCAGCTAGGGGGAGGGCAGTTCCCTGGGCACGGGTCTGGAGGGCTGGGGGCTCTGGGGTGTTCCCAGCCCAAGGTTCATTTTCTCTCCCCCGGTTCCAGGACTGTTTCTTCTACTCGCTGGTGTTCGACCCTGTGCAGAAGACCCTCTTGGCTGACCAGGGCGAGATTCGTGTTGGCTGCAAGTACCAGGCTGAGATCCCCGACCGGCTGGCTGAAGGTATGGGGAGGGGAGGGAAGGGGACCGCGTCCATCCCCCTTGGCTGGAGAAGGGGGTCAGGACTGTCTCCCAAGAGACTAGGCAGGCAGTTGTGTGTGTGGGGCCTCCCCTGACCCAGCTGCTTCCCGCAGGTGAGTCTGACAACCGCAACCAGCAGAAAATGGAGATGAAGGTCTGGGATCCCGACAACCCCCTAACGGACCGGCAGATAGACCAGTTCCTCGTGGTGGCCCGGTGAGGGGAGCGTGGGATGGGGGGGAGCAGGGGGGAAGGGACAGGCTTTAAACAGCCTTAGAGAAGTCAGGGGGGGTCTAGAGGCCCAGAGCCACAGGGTAGGGTGCTAGGGCCAGGCTGTTCAACTGGTGGGTAAGAGGAGCCCTGAGCACTGCCAGAAAGAGCAGGGACAGCTCTTCTGCTCCCAGCCGCACGCGAGAGAGCATAGTACTGGGACCTCGAGCCAAATGCCTGCCCTGGCAGCACGAGGAGCAGTGGGCGAGATGCCTGATGGGGTCTGGAGGAGGCTGGCCAGACACTGGGGGCTGAGCTCAGTGCGACTGCCCTTGCTCCCCTGGGGGCTCTCCCAGGCCTTGGGCCTTTGCTGCTATTGCTGCACAGGGCTGGGAGGGAATTTTTCCCTGCTCTGTTGGTACAGAAGTCAGGGGTTTCTCCCCTCCTTTTGTGGTGCTGGGTGCGGCTGTAGCCAGGCTAGGGACAGTGACCAGGCTGTGCTAGGGTTCCTGTTGTGGCTCAATCCTGGAGGCTTCTGCCTAGAGAATCTTGCTGCCACTTGGTCACTCTGGTGTTGCCTTGCCCCCCACCGTGGTCAGACTGATATGGACTGGGGCAGGGAACAGTGTTCCCTTTCTCTGCAGGGCGGGCCTGGCTTCTGCCTGGGCTCTCTCCAGTGCCTTGAGCTCCCCTGGCAGCAGCAGGCCACTGATACCCTCGTTCTTCAGGGCCAGGCCTGAGGGCTCTGGGCATCTGTGGGATGGGCTGGGGAGTGGTACCAGCAATGGGTCAGACCAGGGTGTGTGGATAGATCGTGATGGGGCTGAGCCCCAGGTGACTAGTCAGGGCCCCTGTGATTCCAGCAGAATATGGTGGGGGGGAGTGAGGGGATGTGTTGGTGGTGAGGGGTTTTCTAGAGCACAGGGTGGGAGGCACAGGCACACACCAGGCCTGGGACAGGTTGGGAGGGGGTGCTCAGGGTTCTCTGGGGTGTCCACCCGTCCCAGGGCATCACTCACCCATTCCTCATCTCTGCAGGGCTGTGGGGACTTTCGCACGAGCTCTGGACTGCAGCAGCTCCATCCGACAGCCCAGCCTGCACATGAGTGCCGCTGCTGCCTCCCGGGACATCACACTGGTGAG